CACCCCCCCCCCCCCTGCCATTTCCCACCCCCATGTGGCGGGTTGGAGTGAGGCCGGACACCCGCGCGGGTCACGATCCCCCTCCCCACAGCGGGATTGCGGTCGGGCCGTGCCCCCCTCCCCCCCGCAGGGCCAGGTCAGACGCCCGCCTCTGCCCCCCACGGGGCTGGGTCAAGCCCCCTTCCCTTGCAGGGCCAGGCTGCCCCCTGCCCCTTTCTGCGCAGTCAGTTGCCCAGGTGCTGGATCGGGATCACGGGCCAGATCTGGTCTGGTGATGCGTCACTGCCCATCCAGCCCGCTGGGCTGCAAGGCTGAGCACAGCTGCAGGAGAGGATTCCTCCTTCCCCAGGAAACGCGCCGCTCTCGTAACACATCTCTGCAATGGACCCTTCTGCACTGCCGCAAGCCAACGCTGCTCGTGTGTGGGGAGCCAGGGGGGCTGCTGCGGTGGCAGCGGCCCGGCTCGGGTACCTCCACCCACCCGCGTGGGGAGGGCAGGGGAAGAGAAGACGGGGCAGGGTGGGGAGAACGAAGCACTGAGTCTGGCCAGGACGTCCCGGAGTGAATTTCTCAAGGCGGTTTGGGCATCAAGGGGCAACGGTTTTCTTCCATGCGTGCCATTTCATGGAAAGGTAGCTCTGCGGCATCGTGGCCGGGAGCTCAGCACCCCAGGCAGGGGTCTTGGATTGTCTCTGAGTGCAAACACATGTGAATAAAAGTAGGCAGAAGGCGTCAGAAGGTCCTTCTGACAGTGATGGAAAAGGGTTTGCATTGGTGGAAACAGGCAGGCACTTCTCCAATGAATCCATGTCTGTTGGTGGTGGATTGGTGCTTGGAGATTGCTCAGGTGAGGGGTTGTCAGTAGGAGACCGTCCACGCAGCTGGTCCACATGACAGCTCCAAACTTGTCCGTCATCAGTGTGGACTGTATATGATACGGGTCCTGTGGTGCTTACAATTTTAGATTGAACCCACTGTGGGCCTGTCCCGTAGTTCTGAGCAAACACAGTCTCTTGTGGAACAAAAAAACATAAAGTACCAGATGCCAATGTGGAGTCCAACTCCTTTTCTTTCCGAAATTGCATCTCTCTCACAAGGTCTGGGTTAACACAGTCAAGGCATGTCTTGAGACAATGACCCATAAGAAGCTCTGATGGGCTGGACCCTGTTGTAGGGCAAAGAATTGCATGTTGCGCAAACAGAAATCTGGCCAGTCTGGTAGGCCAGTCTCCTACAACAGTTCTTTTCAGTGAATCTTTTGTAGTCTGCACCATTTGCTCAGCTTTTCCATTGGCCTGTGGTCTGCACGGAGCAATGGTAACAGTCCGAACGAGGTTGTGGCTGCCAAAACCTTGGAACTCTGCTGAGGTGAGTGTGCTGCCATTATCAGAAGCGATAGCGTTGGGCACCCCATGGGCTGCAAACAGCTGATGGAGAGCTGTTATAGTGGCAGTTGATGTAAGAGTTGAGACAGTAATCAAGCCATTTTGAGTATGAGTCAACAACAATTAAAAAGTTCTTACTTTGAAAAGGGCCAGTAAAATCAATGTGGATGCATGACCAGGGTTTCTTTTTCATTTCCCAAGGGAATACTGGTGCCTTCGGTGGATTATCATGGGTTGCTTGACAAATGCTGTACTCCCTCACAACCCTTTCTATGTCATTGTCCATACCTGGCCACCATACATAACTTCTAGCCAGCACTTTCATCTTTACAATGCCTGGGTGTGCTGCGTGCAGTGTTGTCAGTATGAGTTGGTGTTCTGCTTCTGGAATTACGACATGATTTCCCCACAAGAAGCAACCCTCGCGGGCAGACAGCTCATGCTGATGTGATGAAAATGGCTTGAATTCCTCAGCCGATTTGTCTGCAGGCCAGTCCCTCCACACCCAGTTGAGGACACAGGCAAGGATAGGGGCTTTTGCAAACATCCAAGGATAGGGTCTTTTGCAACCATCCTTGCTATCTGATCAGCCTGAAGAGGGGCTTCTGGCATGGATTCCAGTATGAGGACTTCCACTGGCGGAGGAGTAGCACAATCAGGTATTTGTAGTGGTAGACAGCTCAATGTAACAGCATTTGCAATGGTTTTCCTAGGTTTGTACACAGGTGTATAGTCATATGCGTTTAGCATGATGTTGCATACGGGGAGACAAAATAGGAGGAGTTGGTTTGTCCATAGTAAAAATTTCAAGAAGGGGTTTGTGGTCCATTCAGATTTCAAATTTGCGGCCATAAACGTAATTATGAAATTTTTAAACTCCTGCAATGATTGCCAATGCTTGTTTATCAATCTGTGCATAGTTCCTCTCGGATGAAGTCATTGTTCTTGAGTAAAAAGCAATGGATGCGTCTGTGCCATCAGGCAATGTGTGACTAAGGACAGAGCTGACACCAAATGGCGAGGCATCACAAGTACTAGATACTGGCTTCTGCTCATCGTAATGAACAAGGACAGAGTCTGATGTCAGCAACTTCCTGATGCCCTGAAAGGCTTTGTTGTGCTGTCAAGTCCACTTCCACTGAGCTCCTTTATCCTGTTAGTGATGAAGTGGCTCTGCTATGGTGGCTTTGTCTTTCAAGAAGATGTGATAAAAATTGAGAAGTCCTAAGAATGCTTGAAGATCCTGTCTGCATTTTGGTATAGGGGCATCATGTATTGCTTTTACCTTGTCTGCAACTGAGTGAATGCCAGAAGCATCGATCTGATATCCCAGAAAGTTGATACTGGAAACTCCCAGTTGACATTTCTCTCTTTTTACTCTGATACCTGCTTTATCGAATCTCTGTAAAACTTCTCTGAGTCTCTCAGTGAGTTTCTCTCTAGACGGCCCCATGATCAACACATCATCAAAGTATGGAACAACCCTGGGAATTCCTGCTAACATTTTCTCCACGAACCGCTGGAAAATTCCTGGTGCCACAGAAATTCCCAACCGGAGGTGCTTGATGCAGAACGCTCCCCGGTGCGCAATTATTGTTTGGGCCTCAGCAGCCTTGTCATGCACTATCAATTGCTGATAGGCTTGAGTGAGGTCCAGTTTGTCAAAAACCTTCCCTTCTGCAAGAACAGACAGTAACTGGTTAATGGCAGGCACTGGGTGCGGGTCCTGCTTGCCTCAGCTATCTCATCTGCTATGCCTTCGTTGGCCTTTTGGCCCCGTTTAAAAAAAATAAAATCTCTGCAGGGTAACAGATGGCCTTGGGCAAAAATGTGCCTTCAGCAGGGCAATTAGTTCAGCATAAGACTTAGTGTTTGGCAAGGCAGGTGCTGTGAGGGAACGAACAATGGCAAATGTTTTGGTACCACAGACTGTCAGGAGGATCGCCTGCTTCTGTGCTGGGTTTTACACTTTGTTGCCTTCCAGGTAATAGGATAGCCTCTCAGCATAAGAGTCCCAAGAAGCCGGCTGGCTCACATCAAATGCTTCTATATGCCCCAATGTGGCCATTTAACTAACATGAGCCGTATTAGAGAGAAAAGAAGAAGCAGAAGAAGAAAACAACTTCCCTCTGATCACAAAACACAGCCTGGTCTCAGAATGTCGTCCCACAATCTAGGGGGATCTTCTCAGCAAAGGATCCCATCCTTGTAGCCAGATGAAATGTTGTGAGTTCAGCAACGCACTGTGGACACTGCTGTGTTGAACTAACAGTCCGTTATTATTATAACTCTCTGGAATCATATCTAGGAGGGATCTTAACAGTTGCCCTCACTATATGTATGCAGAGCTTATACTTGGTTTGCCTCTGACTGGACCCAGCCCAGTCCTGTGGAGGGAGAACCAAGAAAGCCTCTCGCTCCTCATTGCAGAGAGCAGGGAGTCCCCAGAGCTGCAGAACTGCCACAAGCAACTGAACCTGCAGTGCTGAGCACGAGGGCTTTGGCCTTAAAGGGACAGTGCAAGGAAACGCAATAAGACACCACAACCATCAGAACTGGTACTTTGTGTTTTCTCCTCCTCCCATGCTTCAGGGAAGACAAGTTGCAAAATTGAGGCTGCAGAGCAGTGCGAGCAGGAAGGGGTGAAGCCAGATTCCCACTTCAATGCTTCCAAAGAAATTCCTGCAATGCTAAGTCATAATGTAGGGCTTTCACTCTACCAAGAAAGATGGCATGCAAATGTGGCCCAAGGGTGTCAACAGGAGCACAGCTTCCAGGCTACCTATGCTGTCAAAGGGAGTCAGAACAAAGAGATCATGTGAAAGAGCAGGCTTAGAACACCGTCACATTTAAGCCAGTATGATCACTGTTTAGCACTCAAGCATGCTCATCTCTCCCCACAAAGAGAACATGTTTGGCTCTACTGACATTGCTATGCTTTCTCTCGGTAATTTTTCTGCCAGAGCCGACTGTTTCATTAAAGCAGGGGAACACTGGGTCAAAGAGGAGAAAAAAGGAACTACAGGTAAATCAACAGAAAGTTGCTGAACAATCACCTGGCCTCTGTCAAGTCACTGACTGATCACAGGATACGCTTGGCTTACATCAGTTAAATAGTTGCGGATGCAATGTAATGACTAAAACCTGATAGCAATTTTTTCACACAATCACCACATTTTTAGATACATTATCTTTATTTCAGCCAGGGTAACCTCTGCACAGCACCATTAGGGATAGGTAAAGGACCAAGTGGTCCTAATTGCAAATCTGACATGGTCAAATAAGGACAGCCTTTCTCAAATCACTTTATCTAAAGTCTTGCTCTTAAAATCTTCCTGCAAATGGTTAAGCATGGCC